CTTTGATGCGAGGTCCCGTGAAGCTTCCTGGTGCCCCTGGCCTCCGAGCTCCACTGGCGACGCAAAGCCGCCCTCCACGAAGAAGAGGGCGAAGGTGGTGTACGCTGTCGCTGTGGGCTCGGCGATGGATCGGCCGTCTGTCAGGACCAGGCAGGTGATGATGAGTACCAGCTGCGCGATGAAGTCAGGCAATGCCACGGGGAAGGATGGCATGTCCGTGGAGGTGCTGAACGAGTTACCCTGGGCCACCCTTCGTCAGTTTGCGAGATTCTTTCAACAGTTGTTTGCAGGGGAGCGGCCAGCTCCACAGTCCTGGAGAGAGACTACCATTGCTGTGCTCCCGAAGTGGTCTCCTGGTCTCCTTTGCCTGCGGCGAGCTTGGCCCTGGCCTCCGTCTTGGCTTCCTTTGCATCTGGTCTCGGACCCAGCAGGTGGGGGCGCCTGCAGCCGCTCGGGGGCCTCCAGGTCCGCCATGCGCCCCCGACTGTTCGCCTTGGCCCAACTGTTGTTCGGGGGGCTGCACGTCTCGAGGTCGATGGCTGCGGGGGTGTAGACACAGATCATCGATTTCGGCCGCCTGGTACTTGCACAGAACGCATCGAAGGGATGCGCCAGGCTTGGCGGGGAGTAGCGGGAGAGTACTCCTGCCTTGACATTGGCCTCGGAGGAGGGCCCGACCAAAATGCTCGTGCGCATTCCCCTGGCTCCCGACCGTTTGGCGGCAGACGATGCATGTGTTTGTGGGCGTGAGAACGGAGCAGATATAGCTGACGATGAAGGCCCCCCGCATGTCGCTGAGGAGGTCACGACGTGCCACGCAAATCCGACCACATATATTTTTAATTCTCCTGCTGCTGTCTCGAGCTTCCAGTCGCTCGTTCATTCTGCCTGAACCTCATCTGGTGGAGGCGCAGGGTCAGGCACTGTCTTCGTTTGAGTCGGTGGGGCAGCATGCGACAGGGCACGGGCTTGAAGCTCCGTGACATTAAGCTGGTAGAGATCCTCCAAAACATCTGGGTCCGTCAGGCGACCAGGTTTCACGCCATTACAGTTAAACACGTCCCGCCCACCGTCTAAGTCCTCGATGGCCCTCTGGAAATCCTTCTGGAGCCTTCGGAGCCACGGCGATGCAGTATATGGTATGTCCGCATGTAGCTTCCCTCCACTGCCTCGTGGATCCCCCTGCAGCTCCAGAGACCCAATGGGAAGACATGATTCTTGCAAGTGCCTCTAAGGATCTCGTGCGCATCCACGTACAAGTGCATCCTGCGAATAGTGAAGTCGGTTTCGGTCGAAACGATGCGCCAATGAGCGTATCGTGCGTATCTTATCGTCGTTATACGGCGTCGCCCGTCCTTGCATGGCTCGTCTCCCGAAGCGAGCGATCTGGCTGTTAATGCAGTTGTAGTGAGTGGGGGGCAGCAGCAACGGCTCGGGGCCCGAGAGGGCTGTGTCCTGCACAACATTCAAGAATATTGTTCTTAGCCAACAGTAGGGGAGTGAGAGGGACCGTATTCACCCCAGAGAGTAAAACGAGTCTGAGCATGCCATACAGCGTCGGCCCACCTCGACTTCGGCCGGTAGTGTCACATTCAGCATCGGGCCGAGGTACCGAACCGTATCCTTGACATTAGTTGGCGCACAATTCTGGATGATATCGCGCCCTTCTCTCAGCAACCACTTCCCTGTGAAGTGACCGTGAAGGCAGGAAAAGGAGGACTCATGGGGGATCCGTGCGTTGTCCAGTTTTTCGGGGCACGTTCGCTAGGCCACTCACCCTTTGGAAATACGCGATCCAGAATCTAGACCCTACCGTCGCAACCCGAATAGCCAAATGGAGGAAAGTACGAGCAAACGTGGGGGTGATGCACCTACGCTGACGACGTGCTTCAAACTCATATCATCTCGGTCCCACCCCCCATCAAATATGTCCTGGACATGCTAACGCATTGCAACGATGACCTACATCGGAAAATGGGGATGGCGAGTTATGCTAGAAACCCAACAAAGCAGGAGCTACATATGTACTCTCCCCTCCAGTGTTTCCAGGGCAATCGTACTTAGCCTGGCACGCTGTGTGCACAAGTCGATGTTTTCCTCGTTGGCGTGTGCGGGGCGGTCTCATTCAAGTCCTCCCACCTCCTACATGCAAATGCGTTGCCCAGGTCTTTGTAGCTCATGTCAAAGCATCAGCCAGCCCTGCGAAGGCGCCAGCCAAGAAGTTGGTTCACACAACTCGTGTCCTCTCTCCTTTTTCCTGTAATGGAGCCGTGCTCGAATACTTTGTGTAGTACATGTAGAATGTCGTGATAAAAAAAGGCCTTGCC